TATCTTAATATTCTTTAGAAGAGCACTCTGGTAACACCCACATATGCATGCATACACATATACGTATGCTTGTAAAATAATTCGTCATGTTTATTGTAACTTGTTAACAGCGTACAGCAGTAGCAATTCTTCATAGAATATACATGTTCATGGAATAGGTCAAAGTGGGAAGTGGAAAGTTAGGTTTGCAGATTGCTTTTTTTTAATTCTGTCTAGAGCTATATCCTCCATTCCTACCCGATCACTTGGAACCTTACACATCTCATTGTTTCAGACAATACCCTCTAACATGTACATCATGCTATATTATTCATTTTAATCTCCGTGGCTTCCTCCTCATCATGGAGGAAGCAACACCTTCTCCCATAAGGGCAATTGAGACCCATCTTCCAGGAGTTGCATACCTCTGTCTTATATCCCTTCCTCCTTAGTGTCGGGATTAACTCCTCCGCACCGTGTGCAAACCTGCAGGCCTCTCCATAGGGGCAGCCCAACTGAGGGTTCCACCTGCTACAAAGCCGAGTCTTGGGCGCTCCCGGAACAGCTACTGTGATGGATTTAGGTTGCCCACCCTCTGTAGCGGGGAAATATATCTTCTGTAGATGATTAACCAGGGTAGCAAACATGTTAACTTAATTTTAATGGCAAGATTCAGGCCAAAAAATCTTAATAACAGGATTAATAAAGCAATTGAACGAGTCTGGTGCTGCAAGTGAGAATTGAAGAAATATAAGCAAGGCAAGTGTACAATAATCATATTCATGAACATGCATGGGTCTCATCCACACGGATCTGTATATGTTTCTTGAGGAATCAGACGATCTCTTTCCCTTCTTAGACAGAGACAGCGTAGGAAAATCAGAAGCTTAGAGAAACCCACGACATTAGGCTCTCTCTATGTATATACCAGCGCAAGCATATAAGAGATTATTGTTGTGAGATACACACACACTTAAATTGGTAAGGACAGAATATAAGAGAGAGATCATCATCATCACTTCTATATATATACACAAACATATAGGAGATCGTTGTTGTGAAATATATATATTGGTAAGGACAGAATATAAGAGAGATCATCGTCATCATCTGTATATATATACACAACCATTTAAGAGATCGTTGTTGTGAAGTATATACATTGGTAAGGACAGAATATAGGAGAGATCATCATCATCATCAGGGATTAAAGAAGAAGTGAGAATGGTGAATTATTGGAGGGTTAGAGGGAGAGCGAAAGTGCAATGTGTGGAGTATAACTTTGTCGGTCGGGAGGAAAAAGCATCGACATATTGGAATAGACATACCTTCTGCTTTGATTGTAACTATCAACACGATCCATCTACCTATACACTTCGTGCCAGAATATAGTAGATTAAATCTTGATCTCTAATCTTTATGCAAAATTGTAAATAGGTCATCTTCCCTCATAAGAATATCTCAGCAGATAAAATTACCCCTCAAGCCAAACCCCGTTCTTCAATATTGGATTCAAGTTAAGAAGGCCCAGCACTGATTTTGAAGTCAAAACTACATCACAAAACTTAGGTACCCAAGCAAGACCATCATGTCGTTTTATGAAGAAATTAGTGTATCTTGAAGCATAGCTTCAGAACTTATAGGAATACAAGAATGTTACAGTTGTGTTGGGATCACGGTAACATGAGAATAAAGTTATGCTCAAATTCTTTCGAGGCCCTGGAAGTCATATAATTTGAGGGTTCTTTTAGCGCAATTGGGAGACAAAGCTCGGTCTATATGGATTCGACTGTCTATTTGGCCACCCTTCGTTATTGAAAGGGAGGAAAAGGAAAGCCTTTGTCTGTTGTGCCATCATTCATGTTAACATTTTCTTGAAAACAGATTGCAGAGAGATAGAGATTTCATGAAAGCAAAATATCTTACCATCACATTTCGTTTTAGCCTCGCTAATTCTTGCTGCAACCTTCGGATTTCCTTGTCTAGTGCATGAATTGTATACTCCTGTTCTACAACGCGGAGCCCGAGCATTTGAGTCACGCGTTCTCTTTCCATCTCTTGAAATCAGACTCTTCTTGACTCACTTTCGACTCAACTCTCGTATCTCGCTCTCATTCCCTCAGTTTCAAGTTAACGGGAGGTCAGAGGCGTTTCGTATTTAACGGGAAAAATTAATAATTTTTAATTTAATATTTGTTTCGTACTTTTCTGCAGACCGTTGAACTCAGCTCTGCATTGGACTCGTGGAGTTTTATTTTATTTTTTAATAGTTCCCATCTATTGTATGTCTTCTTGATTCTTGATATATTTAGTTAATTAATTCTTGTTTCCTTTTCTGGAGTTTGTAGTTGATTTTCGGTTTTCATTACTGTTTTCCTTTTCATGGTTTTTCTTGATAAAATATTTGCTTTTTTTTTTGGGCCAACGATAAAATATTTGCTTTACTTCATGTGATTGTGACTTGGTTATTTTTTATTCCCTTTTTCTGTTGTGTTGTAGTCTGGTACCTATCACCTGAAGGATATATACCATGGACGTATTTGAAGATTGAAGCCATTTCAGTACTTTTGTGTTACGCGTTCACAAATTCGTGCTTTACTCTGCTTTGTGCCTAATAAAGATACAAGTCTGGACAATATTTTTTGTAAATGACACAAGGCTTGTTAGATTGTTTTTGTTGCTGAACTATTATTTGTTATTAGTACATCTTGCTTAGAAGTAATTGTTCTTATCACCGATGAATTTCGCGTATCCACTTTTCATTCATGAAGGTTGGTTTTTACTTAGACGCTTTCCATGTATTTGTATTCTAATACGCATATTTTTATCCCGTTGTGAGCATTATAGTAAGCCCATGCTGTTTTGATTTGGATTAAGAAATAAGAACATTTGCGCTTGCAGGTGAGGAGGACGCACCAACAGGGGCTATGCCTGGATGCTATAGCCTTGTGGAAGAGGGTTTTTATCTGCTACTGATTCCGTTCTTGCACAGCTATGCATCTTTTGTTAAAAGCTTATCTTTTCAAGCAACAATTCATGATTATAGACTTCATCTAGAAACTTAATGGGTTAGGATTCTGAAATTGCAGTAGAATCAGTCTCATGTTCATCTGCGTCAGAACCATTCGAACAGCAGTAGCAATGTAGAAAGCCGGGAGATTGAAGAGTTCCATGTTTGATTAAGCACGGGTAACTTTTTTATTGTGGAGATGCCTGCCGTATTGTCATTAAGCTGTATATTTGCAAGAACCTTGCCCCGGACTATATTGTTTCCTTCTTTCTTTCATGGCACATCTTTGATAAATATGATACTTGCTTCTTCTGGGTGGTAAAGAATAGTTTCTTTTGCTCATAAAATTGTCTTTATCTCTTAAAGCATTGACTGGCTGATATTATCTGTAGATGTTCGTTTATGATTTGTATATTTGATTATTACATTTGGTTACAATATAGTAGGCGTCCAATGGGTAATACACTTTGCAATTTTTATGCTGATATTTTACTCTTGAGAAAATTGATATTTGAGAGTTTATATGAATGAAAGCTATAGAATGAATGCGTGAAAAAATTGATGAGATTAATGAGTTCTCAATTGTAGGAAAATTATTTGACACGGTATTATGTAAATATATATATATATATATATATATAATGGACTAGGTTTAATTATTAGAGCCGTGTCACCAAAGTAGACACTTATTCATTTAAAATCGTGTTTTATCTTAATAATAATATAAAGTGTTTGTCATGTTATTAATAAAAATGCATACACACACACACACACATTTTCAGCTAAAATATTTAATGCTTGGAAATATAAAACTGAACCTTTCGTTTCCTTTCTTCAGTTGTAAATTACCCTTCAGTATAATTGGGTGATTTGTTCCGTCTGCGTCATGGGATTGAAAGCATATCTAATCTACAAAAAGAAAGGAGAATGGAGAGAAACTGAGATCAAAGACGCTTTGAAGGTGGAGACCACACCTTGAGAAGGTGCAAGTTAATGAAGTTAGTGATTGTCTTTTTGATAAGAGTTGTAAATCACATTAAAAGTATTTAAAATAAAATATCAACTTAGAAACTTGAAACAAATGGTTAAGTGTTAATAGAATTGTGTATATCATTATAAAGTAAGGCTGTTCATATAATTATCCAATGCTAGTCTCATCTCGTTCCGGACTGAGATAACATGGAAATCAGGATGGCTTCTTCCCTTCCTATTTGGGATGTATATGTATTTTGTTTAAATTGTGTTATCAATTGTTTTTGCTTATCTATTCTAACAATACATAAATTATAAATATCAAGTTTACATATTTGAATAAGAATTTTTATTTTGATGTTTGTAAAAACAGGAAAAAAAAGGGTTTTACAAGCTTCAACTAATATATTACGATAATGCATTTTTTGTCAACATATGTCTAGATTTAATTGGAATCAAGAATAATGATTTTCACATGTAACATTTACTTTTGAGAAATTTTGAAACATGAAAAAGAAGAACAAGTTTAAGAAATCAATCTTTACTTGTCAAAATTAAGAAAATGATGTCATTATTTTGCTAATTAAATCAAATATTCACTATTAATTACATATTATTTGGATACTTAAAACTATATTTTGAAGGAAATATGACTTTGATTAATTATTTTTGGTAAAAAAAATAAAATCAAAATGGTAATGAGATTTTTCTCATTACAAAAAAACAAAGCTCCTACAAGATGTTCCAATCTTGTCCTATCCTAATTTGAACCAAAACGATTTCGGGATGGGATGAGATACGAGACAGGGTTGTGTGGATCTTGTACCATCTTGTGAACACTTAATATTGTGATTTGATGAGCATTATGATTCGAAACTGGTTCCGTGATATAACCCCATTAATTATATGAAAAGCGGTGGGAACAAAATTGCTTCTAATACATTATGTATATGCGTGGTTACATAAATTCAAAGTCGAAAAGATTTTTTTTTTTTTAAAGAAAAAACCCTCAGCGAATGAGGTAAACACAAGAAAAGGGCTAATCAGAGGCAGGCATATTGGGAGCAGCTGGTTTAGCCATCCTTGATGAGTCTCCAAACACATACCAAATACGCATCGCGTCATTAAGCGCTGCAGATGCCACAGTGCAGCCATTTGGGCTATCCGCCATGCTACCTCTATGACTACTAAGCTTCGCCATCTTCTTAATGGAAGGGAACTTCCAAAGTATGAGGTCATTGTACGGAACTCCATGGGAGCTCAACAACTCAGTCTCTTCCTTGTTCCATAAAAGACCACTCACTTGTGATCCTGCATTAGCAGATTCCACACAAGCACCACTGCCAATATCCCAAAGCTTAATGAACTTATCGTCGTCGTGTCCGCCGGAAGCTAACAAATTAACCCGGAATGGACAACAAGCAAGTGCCTTAACGCTTCCTCTGTGGCCTGCAAATCTGTGAAGCCACTGGGTATTGTTGTTGTTGGTGGTGGTGGTTGATGAAGCCATAGATCTGTCACATATGTGAACTAAGGGCACGTTTGGATAGCAGCAAAAATTCTTTATAAGAACGTTTTACGTAAACCAAGACAATTTTTTTAATATATTTGCCTCGTATTGAGTAAATCACTATTAAAAAACTACTTATAAGCTATTTTAAACGGTGTCTTTGCATTTGCTGGCTAAGCGTTGTCCTGACTCGGACCATTTCAAGCCACAGACTTCCCTGAAATGGCCGCTATAGGTTTCCACAATGTGGGATGGGATTGGAATGTCGTGGTTTACAATATAAGTGTCTGCTCCTCCTGTTGTTAGGGTTTGATCGTTGTTCCATGGTAGTACGCCTACTCGACATCGATGCCCACGTGTGAACATTCTCAGCTGCGTTCATGAAAGGAAAGAGAAGTGAGGAGGTGCAAAATCCAATTTTAGTGAGTATGCTCACTTTTAGTGTATTTTTTGACCTGACGAGTTATATATAATGTTAGTTCTGTTATTAATATAAAATTCAATTAATTAATTTAAAAAAATTAATGAAATTAAATAAATTATTCTAAAGGATTATATTTATCATTTTTTTAAACTAATTTGCCTGACTTATAAATTGATATATTATCTCCTGTCATTAATATAAGACTTAGTTGATTAATTTAGAAAAATTAAGTTGCTAAATTACTTTAAACTATTTATATATATCGTTTTTCTTTAAATTAATTTGTCTTACTTATAAATTGATATATAATCTAATGATACGTATAATTATTTTAAAGAGATCATTTAACTTATATTATAATTAAGTAACTTAGTAACTTTCTTGATCCCTCTAGTTAAATTAGTCAACTGTATTTTATATTAAGGACAAGGTAGTATAATCTAATGAAGTACATAAGTATCTTAGAGAGATCATGTAATATATGTCATAATTAAGTAATTTTTTAATTTGCTTAATTTTCTCAAATTAGTTAATTGGGTCTTATATTAAGGATCGGGGTAGTATATGGACACCTAGCTAAAACAAATTGTGGATTGATATATATATATATATATATATATAGCATATCATCTTCCAAAATTGTTGACTTATTAAAAGAGGATAAAATTGAATTGGTTTTGAAAGATTATATACGATATTACCCTCCTATGTCGTTTTTTTTTAAAAAACATAGTAGTAGAAAATCTTACCCGCTTTGATGTAGTAGCATCCCATATCTGTACATGGGAATTGAACAAACCACCCCATTGCCGAAGATGGAATTCGGCGACTATTGAAAAAGAGTCATCTAATGGATTCCATGTATATACCCAATCTTCAACGGCAAAACACAAGACGTTTCTGCTGCTCCAATCCAGTGTATTCAAGTATACATCGGGTGTGAAAGGAGCCTCTGACATCTTGTGAGGTTTCTGGCAAAAGGAAAAAAAAAAAAAACAATCCTTCAAACAATTACGTAAAACTCGATACCTCTAAAAAGAGATGATATTCCTCCGGTTCTTAATATAAGACTTAATTGTTGAGTTGATTTTAGTTCTAAATATAAGATCTATTTCTCATATTTATTAATTTTTCTTAAATTACCCCTATGGATACTCCCTCAACCATAATCAAGTAGAAGAGGAAGAGAAGATATTAAGAAAAATGATTATAATGTTTTAGAAAAAATATGTCATATTTTTTTATAATTAACTAACTTACCTAATTTCCTTAATCTAATCAAATTAATTAAATAGGTATTATATTAAAAACCGGAGAGGAGTATAACAACAAGTCTTATCTCAGTAAATGGGGTCCTCTACTACTACAAAAAAATAATCGACGGTTATTTTTATTCATATTTAATCATTATGAACCACCAAATATAAAAGAGACAAATATTTGTGGGAATAGTTGACGGTTTTAACAATAAAACCATCAATTATTATGACCCCATTTATCATGTTCTGGTTTCCACCTATATGAATCACACAGCATCATTATGTTTTATCAATGATTAAATCATATTATTTCATAGGATTTATGTCTTAAACTGTTATCTATTATTAAAATTAACCATTAAAGATACCGATCAAACCGTGTAATTTAACAGTCAAATTTAACACTGATCACTACTGCTGAATACTCCTTTGTAAATACTTTTGCAGTTTCTTTCCTCATCCCTGTTTGAATAGATAAACCAAAAGATCCTATTGATAGGCTAAGTTAGATACCTGAGGAATGTTTCGTAAATGGTCGGAGGATTGGCATTGGAGAGGATGGTTCGAGGTCGATGGGTTGTCTGAAGGCAAGTATTCTGGTTCGGTTCACGCCAGGAGCCTCAGCCAACTGTCTCTTGTAAACTTGTCGAGCCTTGGAATTTTGCAGCCAAGAGGATCCAAAATCTGCAGGTTCGCCTTTATTTGGTTGAGTCAGCATGCAGTGAGCGAATCCCAGGTCCATGGCAGACCTATTCGGAATAAATCGATCTATCTGCACAACAAAGACCCAAAAAGATGAGAACATTTATTATATTAAAGAACAAAAATCAAATTTAGAATTTTATCATCTCACGTTTTGCCCTGGAGAACTGTTTCTGTGAGTATCCATCAGGTTGCTGCTGGGCAATTTATCGCAAATTGAAAAGAAGATGGAAGAGAAGAATGTGGGCCAGAATTGGGAGAATATATAGGAGGAAGTAACATGGCACCCCCGGGAGATTATACAGATAATTTTTGATATAATTGATAATAAAATATACTTATCTTTATTTTAAAATTTATATTCCAAATAGATTTTTATTTTCTTTTAAATTTTCTCTCTTGTAATTTTAGCCCCGGTTGAACTTACGATTGGTTCAAACGTATTTATATTAGATTGAAACAAATCCCAATTAAATCTTGTTGAAGGTAGGTGTAGGTCTAATTTCAATTTTGGTAATTTTAATTGAATTTAATTGGAATTTTACTTTTGTTTTTCGTTTATTGAAAATTAAAAATAACATTACAATCTTATATCAAACCTATCAAATATAGGCTCAAAATAATTTTTGGGGAAAATATACACGCATGAAATGTTTTTTTAGAAATTGAATATAATTGTCATAAAAATGAAACTATTTAAATCTAATTTTCTCAGGAAAAATTTATATATATATTTTTATATTTTTATTGTGAAATGTTTTAATTTAATCAAAATCTGATGAATATATGATCATCAATATATTATATAAAGATGGAATAAAGTCATCATTTAAATTTGTTGAGTCACTAATTCTTTATTGGTGGAAATTAATGATGTTAATACGAAGGGACCGGAAATATACTTAGTAAACTTATGTTGAGATGCTAAACTGAAATCTGATGCAAATTTGAAAAAACCAAATATATATTTTTAACTTTGTTTTTAACTATAAGGGGTATCATGATCTTTCAACAACACACTAAAGTCTTTGATTGGAGCTCTTGGAAAATTGACCTGTTTATAAATTTGTTAAAGGTGTAGAACTGAATTTTAATTTTAATTGCAATTTTTCCTATTAGCCTTGAGAGTTATTTTTATATCATTTTATACATGATTAATTAATCTATGGATAGCTGTAATCAATTAAATTTATATTAAATAACTATGATTAAGCATGAACTTTTTTTTGTACATAAACATGAACTTTTTTTTGTGCATAAATATGAACATATTCTTGCATTCATTTTAAATTTAAACATTGGAAAAGGAACATATTTTTTTGCCAACGAAACATCCTTATGCAATTTTTGAATGATTTGAGAACTCGATAAATAAATTCAATTATAACTTGATGGATTTTTAATTTATAGTTGATATTTCTATTTTCATTTTTTCATGTATTAAATTTTTAGTTTCTTAACAAATTAAAAAAATTAAATTTAAAATAAATCATTTTACATTTAAATTATTAGCATGTTGGAGGCTTGAAGTCATATATCTCTTCTCATCCGAGTGCCAGTGTGTTGTTTCAAAGAAATCAAAAGACGATTTCGAGCCGTATATTTGAACAACATTACAACAGAATCATTTTAAGTGGGTGTTTGAACTGTCATGAATATTCAAAAAAAATTTTATTTGTGATACCTTATTTGGATTAACCTTTGGAATGTTTATCAATTTATATTAATTTGTTAGTTCCAAAAAAAACTTTATTTTTAGAATATTAATGAGTCTAAACAAGGATTAGCGGCTAAATTTTCAGTTGCCTTAACCTTTGCGTTATTTCTTTTGACAGTTAAGTTAAAATGAACCTGCATATTTTAAATGAAAGTTAAATTATAATATTTTTCTTCACAAACACAAATATAAATATATTATAATTAATATTTGTTACGGTAATATTTTTATATCGATACATTTTTTGACTTTATAATTAATATTCCTTTCTTATAAATAAGATATTTGTTACAATAATATTTATATTATGTATTTTACTTTTACTTTTATTTGTAAACTTTGTGTTTTTTTGTTTATACATAATATATTATTAAGAAATTCACATATGTTATATCATAATTTCAATTATAAATATGATATAACAATTTTTATATATTTATGCTACTAATTATATTATAATTTTTTGCAACAAAAAATTCCGTGACTAATTTTTTTGCAACGGAATTCACGATAAATTAGTCATGGAGTTTAGTAACAGAAAAATTTTAATACTAAATGACGGATTAGTGATAGATTAATTTTCTTTTTGATAGTGAACCAGCTATAAATAAAAAGGCATTGCAGACAAAAGCAAAATGTGTGGAAAAATGACTATTCACGATCATATGCGCTCCATCATACGTATTCAAGCTACTCTCTGTACTTCAGTGTTAATGAGAATTCATTTTAGAAATTATTAATTGTAACCTTCATTCATTAGTGAGACTCTGAGAGGTTGTTACCTTACAAGTAGTAATAAGTAGTTAAGGTTTTCAAGTAGCCCGCCAAACTTGAAGTAGTGGAAAGTCCAACTTGTGAGGGTTGTAAGTGTGGCTTTACAGTTCCATATCCAACTTGTGTGATTGTAGAAGTTCTCAAATACATGGTTTATGGGAATCGTAGTGGAAAGTCCCTTTACCGTTGATGATGGTCATGCATGTGTGGAGAATCATCAATAAGGCTATTCCGGGAGCACAGGTGCTTTGTAAGTATCATTTGAATATCTCTTTATTATTCTGTCCAAGTTGTGGATCAAGGAGAATTCATTAGGGGTGTGTATGGATCGTACTGGGCTGGGTTTGCTATCAGTTCAAAGTCCGGTTAGTAAATATATTTTGAGCTGAAAAAGATAGTCTGAGGTTAGATTTAGCACAATACCAACCCAAAGTCACGTTAGGTTGGATTTGGTTTACTTGACTATCTGGATTAGTCGAGACGGCCCAAGACTTCAAATTATTTTTTAAAAAAAAAAAATTCAATGGGAGGCAAGATTTCAATTTAATATATAAAACTTTGTACGTGTTTTGATTTAAATTTCATCAAATTTGATCATTCCCTTTCAATTTCTTAATAATATCATGTTTCATTTATTAATTCTCATCAATATAAATCTTATATATACACATGCTTCTCACTCAGTAAATTGATAGATAAATCTTAGTTATTTCAATTGACAAAAAAAACTTATATAGAAGAATAAAAAAATTAAAATTATATGAATAATAGTTAAAAGAATTTAAAAAAATTCGGCCCAAACTAGATTGAATCAACTGGTATGAGGAGTCAATTCCCAACCCAATCTAGCCCAATGAGACCAATCCAATCTAGTCTAATCTAATTTTGCTTAGGGTTATTATTTTTTTTTTTTTTGGACTGGGTTGAATCAGATTTGTTCGAGATGGAATGGACTTTACCGAATCAGCTGATTTTTGCATAGCCCTAGAATTCATTGATCATGTTTTTCAGACTTGTTCTTGGACACATGCCTTTTGTTATGTATTTCCGCTAACAATTAAATATGATGTCATTGTACAAGACAGTTTAATTCATTGGTCGAAAGGGTGGTTGCCCGTTTAGACAGAAAGGATACTCATGTCATGAACTTAACATCTTTTTAATTCTTCATACTATATGAGATTGAAGAAATGCAATTGTTCATGGCAATGGCAATAAGGCTATTGTTCTTTCCCCTGCATTGGCTCCCTTTGTAGTATTTTTTCTGAAATACTCCCTCCGTTTCTTATTATAAGATTCAATTTTTTTGAATGAATTTGTCCCTTTTTATAAGATCATTTTTGAGTTTATCTGGACATTTAATACAATATTACTTATTTTATTCCTAATTTAATGTATTTAATACATTCTATTTTTTTATTTATCTCACTACTACTCTCTCATATTTATCCTTTTGTATATAAAGATATGTCATTATTTATTTCACTATTACTCTTTCATATTTATCCTTTTGTACATAAGGATATATTTGGAAAAAAATTTGCATTTGCTGCACAGTAATTACTTTTAACTAATTTTAACTGTTTTCTTAAACCGTACAATTTAGTTAAAATGATATTATAATAAGAGACAGAGAAGTAGTTTTGTTTTAACAGATAGTGTTGTCAACGGGACGATGGGGACATTTTGACACACTCTCTGGAATATGTTTGACTGAATGTACAAGTCCATCACTGATGAGCCGAAATATTTGATTAGAAAATTTGAAAAACTAACTAAATAAGAGAGAAATCCGGCACAATGTGTCTCCGCTTGAATACAAGTTTTGTTACGCCGGTTTATAAACACATTTAGTCAAATATATATTTAATAATAAAATTAATCAGTTTTTTTGTGTTTAATTAAATTACTTGAACTTTTATCCCCACTATGATTAAAAAAAAACAACTATGTGAAAAAATAAAAAATAAATTAAAGAAAAGAAGAGAACCCCTAAATTCTTTAAACAATTTTGGCCAAAATCAGGGATTTAGTATGATGTAAGGTAGACTAGTGAATAAAATTTGCTTGAACTTTCACTTGCCCACTTATTTAAATACTCCTCCGGTCCTTAATATAGGACCCAATTATTGAGTTGGTTTTGGTTCTAAATATAAGACCCATTTATCATATTTATCAATTTTTCTAAATTACTCCTATGGATACTCCCTTAACTATAATCAATTAGAAGAGGGAGAGTGTGTATTAAGAAAGATGATTATGGTGTTTTAGAAAAAAACATGTCACATTTTTTATAATTAACTAACTTATCCAACTTCCTTAATCTAATCAAATTAGTTAAATGGGTCTTATATTAAAGATTGGAGGAGTATTTTTTTAGAATATTCCCAATGCAGTTTTTTTCGGCTAACATTCCTAATGGAGTTGTTCCTTTGCCAGATTCCGAACAGAGTCAAGAGTTTATAGATTCAAGGCAAAAAACAAAAAAATTAAAAAAAAAAAAGACAGAGGAAAATAGCTTAAGGTTGGGAGATTCTACTCTAGACATCATCGTGGGCATTTGGCTCAGTAACGATATCGACCCTCTTGGTTTCGCTCTGTTGGGTTTCGAGGCCTCAAATTTTCCGTTCCCGGTCGCTGCCCAACGGCGACGCCGCCTTTTCTCACGTCTCTCGTCTCCATTCCACCGCATCTCAATTTCTCGTTTAACATTTGGCTGCACTTAATCTCACTTTTGTGGTTTTCGGCTCTGTCCCTGTAAGTATCTCTTACTTTCTGTCAACGCCCTTAATTTCTTTAATATGTTCATGTTCCTTAATTGCGTTTGCTAATATGGATGTCTGTTTCGAAAATCGTCTTCTTGATGAAATTCATAACTACCTGTTAAAATCCCAATTAAATCCTTTTATGGTAATAATAGCCCTCGGTTGCTTATGTTAGGCAAATTGGAATTCCCTATCTGTACGGTTAAGTTCCAAATTTCTGACATTTCTCATAAATGTTGAGATCTTTGAGGTTTTTTACGTAAAAGAAGGTATTAAAGTACTAAATTGGCTGGTTTCACATCAAAATATAAGTGTACTACTGAGAACTCGTAGTTTTTATTAGAAAATTGAGCGATGACAAGGATAATGATATTGATACATTTTACGCATTCACGTTTGGTTTTTTGGCTTCAAGACTGTTGCAATTGACATTAATCGATTGAAAGTCAGCTACACCACCTGAGAATGTGCATATCTCATGAAAGTGTGTTGGATTTACCAGAATTATGCTTTAATTACAGTGTGGCCTGTTGTATCTCCGAAAGGGAAGTCTGCAAAATACTGAATTATTTCTCTCAAAGCGGTTCATTTGTGTGATAAACTGTACAAGAACAAAGATTCCTTCTTTGGTTTTGGCCCTTGATTAATTTCATTGGGTTTCAACGTTGTCAAGATTCCTTCCAAAACTAAAGTTGCTTGCTGGTAGTATTTTAGAGGATACCCTTTGTAAAATTGAATATGAAAGGACATATGTGTGTTTGTGTCTGTCTGTATTTCATCACCGCAGCCAACTCACTGTGTGTGACCATTCTCTGTTATTTTGGTTGCTTACACACACGCACGCACGCACCAACGAGTATACTTTCCCGTCAGATTGCTAATCAACTAAAGATCAAAGTCCTGCATTGGATGAATGATTGTCACTGAGACAACCAATTAGAAGGCAGCAGAGTTTGCTAATTGGGTTATCTATGTGGATATTTTAGTTCATTTGAGATGCATTCATTTCATTGGAAATCACTTCTTCTTATAATAGATTTGTGTACTCGGTCAAGAGGGCTGCACTTTGAACTTTTAATTAACAAATTTTATCCCAAAATTTAGGAATGCAGACTTGTTGCTAAACAGTACGCCGAGTTTGATGAACCTTTTTCGAAATTTAACGGTTCATTTTGGAAATTCAGTAGATGATGCTACCTCTGTGATAAGAACCGAAGTCATGGAAAAACAAAAGCCGGAAAATAATCTACTAGAGAGCTGAGGTAAGGATCTCACTCACAACTGACTAATAGCCAAGATAAATTTCTATTAAGGATAAGCAAAGCAGGGATCTCACTCTACAAACCCTCAATAGCCAACAAAAGTAGAATCTCCGATTGACTCAAAATAATCCTTTGATTTCTCAATGTCTGCCTAGCATAGGAAGTGGCTAAGATATTTATAGAAGAAATTACAACAGTAATAAAAATCTGGAAGTTCCTAAAATATCTGATGCAAACTCTTGAAACAGAATTGACCGTGGTTGAACCTTCCGCTGATACAATGGTCTACTTGTTTCTCAACTGATTCTTGGAAGTAATTAAACATATAATATTCCGGCAATAAATTGATACTACCTCTGGTTTTCAATATAAGATCTAGTTTGTAGTTTAATTTAAACTACAAATTAGATCTATATTAAGAACTGGAAGTAATAATAAATTATGATTAAGTCGGTGGAATAGAATCAGATTTCAATTGTTTTCTTTTTCTTTCATAACTCTGTGTACTATACTATAGTCATTATTAATCTTAGTGAAAAATTAAGATGAAGATGTTTCCATCAGGCCCATGATGTTTTGGCATGTATTCAAATTTGCTATTTCCTGGTCCTTAATACTTGGTGGTATTTGCTGTCATAGTTGCAAACAAAACCATGGCTACTGCAAAGGATGATGGACCTACGGAGCAGCGTCCTGATGAACTGGCTCAGTCACTTAATGATCTCTTCTCCAGCATTTCAACCATGGTCAAATCAGAGCTTCAAGTAAGCCCAGATTCTCTCTTTTCTAAAATGTACCTACGATTTATGTTTTGTTGAAATTTTTAGAGCTTGGAGATCAATATTCATCACGGTAGTTACATGATATTATATCGAAAGCTGAGCTATTTTGGAAAAAATTCTTCTTCCATTCTTTCCCAGGGGACCAACAATCATTTAGAGCTTCTGGAGAAGATGAATATGAGAGTAGCAGAAGAGTACAAAGGCTTTGGTGATTTGGCTTCTGGGCTAAGGGTATACGTAGAGCAGTTGAAATCCAAGAGTGGTAACTTTGATGAATATGTTCAGCAAATTGACGCTATAGAGCAACAAGTGACTGAATTTGAGGCTGTGGTGTCAATGCTTGATCAATATGTATCCTTGTTGGAATCAAAAGTACATTCTGTGTGTCGGGATCGATCTACCTAATTTACATGAGATTCATTTGACAAGCTTGATTGTGTTATTTCGGCTGAGTGCTCTCTGAAATTTTTCAATTTCTTTTGAGAAGCTCGTTTTTTCACCATGCTTTCTTGGAAATGGTTGGTTTGTTCTTGAAATTAGTTGCCTTTTGGCTTCCTACGCAAGCATACAAGACCCTATCTTAGCTCGTTAAGAAAAAGCGAATAAAAGAGAAAGGTATTGTAGGTGGAGGAGGTAGAAGTATTCGTTAACTGTAAGTCATTATAAATGTATTTAATGCTTGTCTCTTAATTTTATTTTTATATAATTTTTATTGAAAAGAGAGAAAGAAGGAAGAGATATAAGAATAATTTGTAAATATAGAAAAGAAATTTTTTTAATAAAAATAAAATTTGAAAATTTTGTTAAGTTAATACATTCATTAATACACAAAAATATGTTACAAATAATTTATACTCCCTTGTTTTTTAATATAAGATCTAATTAAATAATTTGAGTAGATTAATAGTGTTAATTAAATTAGTTAATATGATATGATTTTTTTCTAAAATACTTTAGGCATTTTTCTTAATTTCTTTCCTTCCTCTTTTACATAATTATTATTAAGAGAATATCAATAAATTTAATTTAAAAAAGTGATAAATGTATAAAATAAATTTTAGATATAAAACTAATGTTAATTTTTATATTAAAAACTCGAAAGAATATTAAATATAAGTGATATAATTATAAAAGTAGCACAACCAGTAGCGGCAGCCCTCCTGCCGTAAGCGTTTTGACTGGGGGCCGCCTCAAGGGCTTCTGCCGCCAACAGTCCTGCAATTGCCTTCCGGATCTGCTAGTTGTCCATTATTTACTCAAAGGTGAAATTTAATTGGTTTGAGCATTGACTGACCACTCCCGCTGTATAAAAAAATACGGAGTCTTATAGGAGCTAAGTAAGGCAGTGTTTGGATCACTCAAGAGCATTTTAAAACTGTGTTTTCATGTAAATATAAACAAAACTTTTCTCACATATTTATTTTAAATCTCACAAAATTATTTTTAAGAAGTTAACCCAAGCACTCCTAATACGACTTGGGTTGAAGGTAAGAGGTTAGTTCCCGAAACTAAAACATTATATCACAATTTATTTTCATGACTTTGGATTCAAAAAATTTCTATACACAATAATTCACAACTGTGAACTATTATTATTAAAATATTTTATAAAATAAACCCCGAGGGGTTAGGTCAGTTGGTTGGGACTGTTCTAGCTTAACCACGGGTTTCGAATTCGAACCGTGGGAATGCAGCACCCTTAGGGGCTAGAGGGCGCCGACCGAAAGGTTCCTTGCAAGCCTTCGATCTGGATTAGTTTGGGGCCGCTGTCACGGCTGAAAGATGTCTATTGCCCTGGGATACCGGATGGAGAAATCCAAAAAAAAAAATATTTTATAAAATATATTTTCCCGAATTTTTTTACTCTAGTTATGAAGTATTCAAATCAAGTTTTAATAGTTTAAATTTATTTATATAATTTTTATTTAAAAATCATAATAATTTTATAAAATATTGATCAGAATTACAAAAAAAACACATAGACAAAAAGGTGATTTCCATTAGCCCCCTCTAGTCTCCCTCAATGTCTTAATTTTCCTCCAAGCCCCCACTCTAGTAGTTTGAATTGGCTGCTTTGCTTTCTTGCTTTTAATACCTGAATTGGCATTGAATTTTTTTCTGCACATTTTTTCTTTCAACAACCATTAAATAAAAATTAAAAAAAAAAAGTGTCAGCGAGGCGTGCGCCGTGCGGCATATAAAATCGTAGAAAAAAATTAACGCATTGCTTTTATGGCATCTTTCTTTAATTGATTTACGTTACCCCTCCAATTTTTAATATAAAGCACAATTAATTAATTTAAATAAATTAATAATACTAATTAAATTAGTTAATATAATATGTTTTTTTTAAAACACTTTAAGTATTTTTTTTAGTTCCCTCTCTCTTTTTTCGTACTTGATTATTGTTAGAAAAATATTAATACGGTTAATTTGAGAAAAAATTAGTAAGCAAGTAAAAATAGATTTTATATACAAGATTAATATTAACTTTCTGATTAGCTCCTATATTGAGAATCGAGAGTATTTGATTTGAAATCACACCTACTTCCAATAATTATTAATGAAGACGCAGCCTTTTCTGTAAATAAAATAAAATAAAAAGAGAATTACAGCTCATTTCTAAAAAAGAGAAATAATTACTAAAAAATTTTAATCACAATTTAAGCAACATGTGATGATAAATTCTAAAGTAAAAAATAACAACTTTTAAAACTTATTTTGTAATTATTTCTTTTCTTCAATACTTTATTGCAATTCTCCTAAAAATAAATCAAAAGAAACGCAGTGATTAATAAAAAAGAAATAAGACAACATCCCCTCTTAAAAGACTGCTTTCTTATGTGCTTCTCTAGATCTATCTATAAAGCTGAGAAATTTTTTTTTAGTTCTATTTATAAATTATTTTATTAAATTTTTAACATGAATATATTATTTTATTATTTATTTATTATAGTGTAGATATTTATATTTTTTGAAAGGTGTATACATTAAATAAGAGTAAATTTAAAAAATTATTATATTTTAATAGAGAATTAACACATTTTAAAATTTTTCTTGATTTGCATAAAACATATTGAAAGTGTTTTATAAATAAGATAAGAGGAGTATTTTTTATAGTTTTCAATTAATTAAATTATACAAACTAAAAAATCTGTTAAACTTAATTAAAGATAATAAATATATAAAAAAACCTTATTTTTCAAAACATCCTTATTTATGAAGAGTCTTGGTGGGAAAAAGAAAGAGTAAAAAAAAAACATATAATTATAAAAAGAATCGGATGGAGTATACACTCCTCCGTAGAAGCTAAAAGATTGAATATGATCGTAAGTGTAAAATTTCAGGTCACTTCAAACTACCATATTTGATATCAATTTAAACTTTGATTGCACTTATTAAGAAAAATTTCAATGTGGATGATTAAAAAAATATTTTAGAAAAATCAATGTATAATTTTTTTCACAGAATTAATTTAATTAATTTTCTTAACCTATATAAACATTTAATTAATTTTCTTAACCTATATAAATTTATTATTTAACTTTTATATTAAAAATTAGAGAAGCACAGAGATCAAAAGAATTTTTCTAACCAGCCAGAGATCAAAACAATGAAATAAATACGGCAACAACTGAATATAAAATTAGACCGTAAAAATTTTATAGTACCATTATTATGAGATATTATCGATGGTACAATCACGGTGATTAATTTGTGAGGGCTTTGTAATTCAATTTCAAATAACGTCAAATATTTTCTTTAAAGTTTTTTTTAAGTCATAGTGTGTGAGTTTTGTAAAAAAATCACAATAATTAATCCTCCTCTAATATTAAGATACTTGTTATGAATATTGCATGAGTGGATGTCCATAACCCCTAACCCTTAGAATTCTCATAGGATTCCTCACCTTCAAGTGTCATAAACTACATAACCTCCATAATGAATGACTTGGGAGGAGTTTTTCATTGTTAATGCCATTATAATGTTCTTTATTCCTTTATAACCTTAGTATAGGACTTCAATGCTTGGAGGCCTATAAATAGAGGGCATGCATGAGGCATTTGTACCTTGAACCAAAGTGAATGAGAAAAGGCCATTGTCTTCTCTATCTCTTGCTTTCTTTTCTACTCTTCATTCTCCTTATTTCTTGTTTATAACACGTTATCAGAACGACCTTGCTCTGAAAATTTGAGGTATAAACCCTTCGTAAGATTATGCACTCTTCTCATCGTCTAATTATCTCCTTACTCAATCATCACAATATATATCTATGTATTGACTACATATTAACTTTATATTATCTCCTTTCTTAATTATCATGTTTTATATTATATAATGTTACTCTATTGTTCTTTTCTTTACATTTTATTTTTTTTTTCATTATGTTAACATTCTGTTTTATTTTATGTTAACATTCTGTTTTATTTTAAGTCATTTTATTTTTGTTGTCACATTGTAAAATATTATGTTTGTTTCAAATAATTGATGTAATTTATGTATCATCTCCATTTGGTATCTATGGTGTTTTACATTATTTTATCTGTGTTGTACTAACTCTCATATACATATAATTTACAGTGTCCCATGTTGTTTTATCTATATTGTACTAACCCTCATATACATATATACATATATATAATTTACTGTTGTTTTATCTATATTGTACTAACTCTCATATACATATATATAATTTACACTGTTTATTTTTTTTTCTATCATTATATTTGTTTGTATTTATTTATGTTGTTTATATAATTTATTTATAATAAGGCCTAATAATTTATATGTTGTTTATTCATTATTTATCAATTTATATTTATTTCGTTTACCTCACTGTAGCATTATTTTTATTTTTAGTTTAATTTTTATTATATGTTAGTTAGTCTATTGTAACATTTATATATTTATTTATATTACCGCATTTACATTACCGCTTTCCCCCTTCCCCCTATATATATATTTATATATACATTGTCTCTATATTATTATTGTAACTAATTATTTGTGTTGTTTTTTTTCCCCTCATATATGTTTATTTGTCATTGTTTATTTATTCATTTATTTTGTTTATAATTTTAAAGGAATAGTTTATTTATGGGTGACTTTTGAATCGTAATATTTTATTTATTGTGTTTCAGTGTGCATCAATTTTATTATAATTCTAATTTTTGTTATTATCATTTTAGTTTGATCTATGGCCAATCTTACCAAACTCGAGTTTACGGCTCTTGATATCACTGGAAAAAATTATTTGTCTTGGGTCTTAGATACTGAAATCCACCTAGATGCTAAAGGTCTAGGAAGTACTATTTTACCTGGAAATGAAGCAACTAGCCAAGACAAGGCTAAGGCCATGATTTTCCTACGCCACCATTTGCATGAAGGGTTGAAAGCTGAATACCTGACGGTGAAAGACCCGTTAGAATTGTGGAATAATTTAAAAGAAAGGTATGATCATCAAAAAACGGTAATTTTGCCTAAAGCTCGTTATGAATGGATGCATTTGAGGCTTCAAGATTTTAAATCTGTGACTGAATATAATTCAGCAGTTTTCAAAATAAGTTCTCAATTGAAATTATGTGGTGAGAAAATAACAGATAAGGACTTATTAGAAAAAACATTTTCAACTTTTCATGCTTCAAATGTGCTCCTGCAGCAGCAATATCGTGAAAAGGGTTTTAAGAAATATTCTGAATTGATCTCATGTCTTCTTGTGGCTGAACAAAATAACGAGCTATTAATGAAAAATCATGAGATTCGTCCCACTGGATCAGCTCCATTCCCTGAAGCGAATGTGACTGTACACAATAATTATCATATGCGTGGACGCGGTCATGGTCGTAGCCGAGGCCGTGGTCGTGGTAGGGGACACGTAAATTACCGTTCTTATGGTGGTGGAAGTAACAATTATAACCCAAATACCCACCAAAAAGAAGAAACTTGGTGATGGGCAGAAAAAAGATAAGAATAGCCCTTGAAGAGTTATTGAAAATCAATGTTACCGGTGTGGTATGAAAAGACATTGGTCACGTACCTGTCGTACGCCTGAGCATCTAGCAAAACTTTATCAGGCCTCTATAAAAAGAAGTTCAAATAATGTGAAAGCAAATTTGACTTTTCAAACTGATGATGTGGAGGCAAATTTTGCATACAAAAATGATGATATCAATGAGCTAGATGATGTTAATGGCCTTGATGCTATGGCACATTTGGATGTGGCTGATTTCTTTGAGAATCATGATTAGAAGAATTTGGATAATTTTAGTTTGCTTTATTTATGCTTTTTAATTTAGTTTATGTTTATTTATTTCTCTTTTTTTAAGAGTATTATTAATCATGATGTACTTCGAATTTATATTAATGAATGTTTTTTTTTTGGGTGAAGAATATGGATGTTTCTCTTCCTTTTGTTGGGCACAAGAATGAAGATATATGCCTGATAGATAGTGCTACAACACACACCATACTCAAAGATAGAAAATATTTTTCTCATCTTACGATAAATAGTGCAAGCGTCAATACTATAGCGGGTAATGCAAAACTAATTGAAGGCTCCGGAAGAGCAATTATAATATTACCCAGAGGAACAAAATTTGTTATTAATGATGCTTTATATTCCTCGAAGTCTCAAAGAAATTTATTAAGTTTTAAAGATATTCGCCAAAATGGATATCATGTTGAAACTATAAATGAGAAGAACATTGAATATTTACATGTTACAATAGTAAGAAATGGAGAAAAATATGTCATGGAAGAATTACCGACATTATCTTCTGGTTTGTACTATACAAATATTAGTACAATTGAAACAAATGCTACGGTAAACCAAAAGTTTACTGATAAAGATACGTTTATTGTTTGGCATGATCGGTTAGGCCATCCCGGATCAACTATGATGCGAAGAATTATTGAAAATTCACATGGACACCCATTGAAGAGCCAGAAGATTCTTCAATTTAAAGAATTTTCATGTGTTGCTTGTTCTCAAGGCAAATTAATTATAAGGCCTTCATTGACAAAAATAGGAGTTGAATCTCCTGCATTTCTAGAGCGTATCCAAGGAGATATATGTGGACCTATCCATCCACCATGTGGACCATTCAAATATTTTATGGTTTTAATATATGCATCTACAAGATGGTCTCATGTGTGTTTGTTATCAACACGTAATTTAGCATTTGCTAGATTACTTGCTCAAATAATTCGATTAAGAGCACAGTTTCCAGACCATGCAATTAAGACAATTCGTCTTGATAACGCTAGTGAGTTTTCATCTCAAGTTTTTAATGATTATTGCATGGCAACTGAAATAACAGTAGAAAAATCTGTTGCTTATGTCCACACTCAAAATGGCCTAGCAGAGTCATTTATTAAACGCCTCCAATTGATTACTAGACCAATACTATTGAGAACAAAACTTCCTATTTCAGCTTGGGGACATGCAATTCTGCATGCAGCAGCAATTATACGCATCAAGCCAACAAGTTATCATGAATTCTCCCCGTTACAATTGACTTTTGGTTGAGAGCCAAATATTTTCCATCTTAGAATTTTTGGATGTGCGGTATTTGTCCCTATTGCTCCACCACAATGCACAAAGATGGGACCTCAAAGAAGGTTAGGGATATATGTTGGCTATGAATCTCCTTCTATAATTAAGTATTTAGAACCATTAACAGGAGATTTGTTTACAGCACGTTTTGACGATTGTCATTTTGATGAGACAATTTTTCCAATATTAGGGGGAGATAATAAGCAGCTGGATAAAGAAATCATATGGAAAGCATTATCATTATCTCATCTAGATCCTCGTACACAACAATGTGAACTTGAAGTTCAAAGAATAATTCATTTGCAAAATATTGTAAATCAACTGCCAAATGCATTCACTGATCCTAAGAGAATTACTAAATCTCACATTCCAGCTGAAAATGCTCCAATTAGAATTGATGTCCCAGCAGGACAACTAGAAAGCGCAAGTGAAACCAAACCACGCCTGAAGCGGGGTAGACCAATCGGTTCCAAAGATAAAACTCCTAGAAAGAAAAAAGGAGCAAATAATCATGATGGTCATGATAGTCAAATTGAGGAGGCAAGTCCTATAGGAGAGGACCGAAATATAACTAATCAAAAGACCTCAGAGGAGGCTTAGGTACCTGAAAATAATGAAGAGATCTCAATAAGTTATGTTACTACAGGAAAAAGATGGAACCGAGAGAACACAGTTGTTGACAATATTTTTTCATATAATGTTGCTGTTGAAATAATTAATCAACATGAGGATCTTGAACCTACATCAGTTGAAGAATGTAGACATAGAGATGATTGGCCAAAATGGAAAGATGCAATTCAAGCAGAGTTAAATTCACTTTCAAAGCGTGAAGTTTTTGGACCTGTAGTTCATATACCAAATGGTGTGAAACTAGTTGGATACAGATGGGTTTTCGTGCGCAAACGAAATGAGAAAAATGAGATTGTTAGATATAAAGCACGGCTTGTAGTACAAGGATTTTCACAAAGACTTGGTATTGATTATGAAGAGACATATTCTCCTGTGGTGGATGCAATCACTTTGAGATATATAATTAGTTTGGCAGTCCATAGAAAACTTGAAATGCGTTTAATGGATGTTGTTACGGCATATTTATATGGTTCTTTAGATACTGAGATTTATATGAAAATCCCTGAAGGATTTAAATTGCCAGAGGCATGTAAGAATTCTCGAGAAAATTATGCAATTCGTTTGCATAAATCCTTATATGGATTAAAACAATCTGGAAGAATGTGGTATAACCGACTTAGTGAATATTTGTTGAGAGAATGTTATAAAAATGATCCAATTTGCTCATGTGTTTTTATAAAAAGAAATGGATCAGAGTTTGTTATAATTGCTGTCTATGTGGATGATTTAAATATAATTGGAACTCCTGAAGAGCTTCAAAAAGCAGTTGATTGTTTAAAGAAAGAATTTGAAATGAAAGATCTTGGAAGAACAAAGTTTTGCCTTGGCTTGCAAATTGAGCACTTGACAAATGGAATTTTCCTTCATCAATCAACTTATATTGAAAAAGTATTAAAGCGATTTTACATGGATAAGGCACATCCGTTATCTACTCCTATGGTTGTAAGATCACTGGGTAAGGATAAAGATCCTTTTCGTCCTCAAGAAGATGAGGAAGAACTTCTTGGTCCTGAAGTACCATATCTCAGTGCCATAAGTGTATTAATGTATCTTGCTAATTCAACACGACCTGATATTGCATTTGCTGTTAGTTTATTGGCAAGATTTAGTTCTTTCCCAACAAGAAGGCATTGGAGTGGAATTAAGCATATATTTCGATATCTTCGAGGGACAATTGATATGGGATTATTTTACTCTAATGAATCAGAATCACAATTAATTGGCTATGCAGATGCAGGATTTCTATCAGATCCACATAAAGGCAAGTCTCAAACAGGATATTTATTTATTTGTGGAGGTACAGCGATCTCATGGCGTTCAACAAAACAAACTTTATCAGCTACCTCATCAAATCATGCGGAAATAATTGCAATTCATGAGGCAAGTCGAGAATGCGTTTGGCTAAGGTCAGTGACTCAACATATTCAAAAAATGTGTGGTTTTTCCCTTGAACAGAAGATTCCAACAGTATTATATGAAGACAATACAGCATGTATAGCTCAATTAAATGGAGGATATATCAAAGGAGACAGAACAAAACATATTTCTCCAAAGTTCTTTTTCACTCATGATTTTTTGAAAAGTGGTGATATAGATTTTCAACAAATTCGCTCATGTGACAACCTTACTGATTTGTTTACCAAGACACTGCCGACTAGAACATTTGAGAAGTTAGTGTATGGTATTGGAATGCGCAGACTTAAAGACTTAAAATGATGTTATCATTAGGGGGAGTAAATATTGTGTACTCTTTTTCCTTTACTGGGTTTTTGTCCCAATGGGTTTTTCCTAGTAAGGTTTTAATGAGGCACAATACTCATTATGGACATCCAAGGAGGAGTGTTATGAATATTGCATGAGTGGATGTTCATAACCCCTAACCCTTAGAATTCTCATAGGATTCCTCACCTTCAAGTGTCATAAACTACATAACCTCCCTAATGAATGACTTGGGAGGAGTTTCTCATTGTTAATGCCATTATAATGTTCTTTATTTCTTTGTAACCTTAGTATAGGACTTCAATGCTTGGAGGCCTATAAATAGAGGGCATGCATGAGGCATTTGTACCTTGAACCAAAGTGAATGAGAAAAGGCCATTGTCTTCTCTATCTCTTGCTTTCTTTTCTACTATTCATTCTCCTTATTTCTTGTTTATAACAATACTCATATTATGTTTGGCTAAAAATATAATACAAAATATTCTAAAAAAGTATAGTATAAAATAAAATAATTTTATAAAAATGTCAAATTTTAGTTAGATATATATGTGTTTGTTAAAAAAAAAAAGTGTGTGGTTGTGCCCGCACAATAACTGTATAAATATTTTTCTTCTCCGTCAAAATTGAAAATTGCATGTTCCTCATTTCAGGAGTCAAGTCATTACACGTATCATGTTCCAATTCCAAGTAAGGAACAAATAAAAGATGACAACTTTCTTGACTACTTTATTTACCCTGTGTAACCTTAAATATAAAAATTAATAGGTGTGTTAATTTTAATTTTAAATTTAAGACCTTAAATGCCTTTTTTCTAATTAAATTTATAATTGTCATTAAACCCTGCTATTATATATTAAATGTGTTTTTTCAGGCTAGTGCATGTGTGGCGCAGTGGCATGATAGCCACTTGTTGGTGGTCGCTATTAGGGTTTAATCCCTACCTGCAAGCTCTGCTTGTCTACTCAAAAAAAAAAAAAAGTGTTTTTCAGACATCAATTTTCAATGTAAATTATTAAAAAATATCTAAAAAAATTAATACTTATATTTTAATTTTTATAAATAATTCATTAATTTAACTAATTTTTAATTTTTTAAATTAGTTTTCTTGAATGGAGCGTCCATCATATTACTGTGTCAAATCTTTCAATCCATGATTATATGTTCTATTTTTAAAATATTAACATTTTAAATTATTTAATCATAAATTTATAAGAAAAAACATGTTTATCTATAATTAAAAAATATGATATAATAAATATAAGTATTAAGTAGCTTGATTTTTAGGTTTTTTTTTTCTCATATATAAATTGAGAATTAGTTTTAATGTACATCAGTTATCGCAATGAGGAGTATTATAATATTTACTAAATCTCAAAAGTTAAATTTTAATATGAATGGTCAATATTTAATTTTTTATTTTCTCTTAAAAACATTTTATAATAAATACATAATCTAAAATAATATAATTTTGTAATTATAAATTTTTTTAAAAATAATTTTTTATTTAAAAATTTTGAATTTAGACCAGTATTTTAATGGTATAAATTTGATTGCAATGCCAGTGTACTCATCGCTGCGGTTCGTTCATCAGTGTCCTTTCATCCGGTTCTCATCCCCAGGCTTCGGAACTCGGAAGCCATACCATACACACACCTCAGCCCCCCACATATACAAGAAGACCGATGACTGGAGTCGCCGGAGTTCCGTCGCCGGCGATCAAAGTAGCAGCACTTTGTGGCTCGCTGCGGAAAGGTTCATTCCACCGAGGCCTTATTCGTTCTGGTTCGCTCTCATTCTCTCTCACTCTTCTCCTTGTTTTCCCTTTTCGTATCTCCCTCTCTGTTCTTTTTAGACCGGAAGTTAAACTCCGATTCTCAATATTCATCGCCGAGTATCAAATTTTCAAGTTCGATTATGTTTAGAATTGAAATCAAAACGTAATGCTCTAGTGATCTATAAAGTTTGATTTCTATTGACTGCAGCAATCGAGCTGAGCAAAGGAGACATTGAAGGCATGGAAATCGAGTACATCGATATTTCTCCCCTTCCTATGCTCAACACTGATCTTGAGAGTGACGGAACTTATCCCCCTGAGGTGGAAGCTTTTCGCCGCAAGATTCTCGCCGCCGATAGTGTTCTTTTCGCTTCGCCGGAGTATAATTACTCTCTCACAGGTACTCTTATTCATCTTCTTTCACCTCTTTCTGAAATGCATTGCCCTAATTGGACTTTCCAAAGATTCTCTGGTTTTCTATGGTTGCAGACGATTTGTATCAGACAAGATAATTTTACATCGTTAATGTATCTTGGAATAAAACATACTTTTGAACTTTGCTGCACATTTTTATTTTTAAAATTAAATATTTTCTTAAAGAAAATTTGTTAAAACGATATGCTGAGATTCTACAGTAGTGTCTTCCTTTCTGCAAATGAAAATTGATCTGTTACTTCAATTTTGAATCATATCCTAAAGTTTATTTTATTTAAAATGGGTCATTATTATTTAATCCCATAATTTTAATTTATAGATTTTATGGAATTTTATTTATAAAAATGAACATGTGCTAAAACAATGCTAGGCAAAACAAAACAAATTTTATGGTCTCATAAATTCTATAAATTGAATTAATTGATTTTATATTAAAAAATGAATGCCAGTAATAAACTAAATTATAGTAATCCAATTAAAAAAATCATAAAGAGTTAATTTAAAATTAAGATAAATTATTGGACCCACAAATTAATTTTTCTTTCTACAGTATACCAAGTTTTCTCCAAAAATTAAAGGATTGGTAGGTATATTTGCGTCCCGTACTCTCTATTTTTCAAAATACTATAGTAGCATAAATTAGAAGTGGTTCCCACATGCATTCGTTTTAAAAAATATAAATTTTATGTTTGTCTTTGTCTGGGCTTCTTTTGGCATGTGATAATGTTGGGATATGGGAATTTTATATACAATTTATATATGCTAATGGATCCTCAAAATATAATTATTTTTTCCGACCAAAAAAATAATTATTTTCAAAGATTAAATTTATTACATTGTTGTTGCTGCTGTTACCCACCAATAAATAAGCATGCACAAGACCAAAATTATGGTTGTAGACTGAGATACTAAATTTACTAATCACAGCACAAGCTGATATAAATGCTTTTTTTCAAATAACTCACTGTTTCATGTTATCTCTCTGATTATAATGATTTACTCCCTCCAGTCCTTTTTATAAAAATCTGAAAACTAAATTATGTGGTTTTAAAAAAAAAAAATTAGTTAAAAGTAGGGAAAATCATAAATAAAGACCCCTGAATTAGCAAAATTATGCAGAGGTCATCTAAATAAGAAAAATTACCATGAGGAACCCAGTCTCATATTACAAATATGAAATATTGATGAAATATCTGAAATGCCCCTAAACCAAATGACAAGTTGACTATAGGAAATGATAAGTTCACTTTAGCGAATGACAACTTTAGTAGATCAAATCACAACTTGGTTGAAGTTATGCTAAATGACAAGTTGACTATGGAAAATAACAAATTTACTTTAGCGAATGACAACTTCAGTAGACCAAATCACAACTTGGTTGAGGGGCATTTCAGACATACATTTCATCAAGATTTCATATTTGCAATATGGGACTGGATCCTTCATGATAATTTTGCTTATTCAGGTGACCTCTACATAATTTTGGTAATTCAGGAGTCTTTATTTGTCATTTTTCCTTAAAAGTAATAGATATGTAAAAAAAATTTTCTTTTTAAATATGTCCTTATTTATAAGGATTTTTTTTTTGGCCAACACCTTATTTATAAAGACTTAAGTAAGAGAGAGAAATAGAGTAATAATAAGAGAAAGTATGAAAGCGAATGTAATGTGTCAAATTGTTAACCTTCTAATCAATATAATATATAAAATTAATTAGAGGCAAAAATAACAAAAATACATTAAATATTCAGACAATCTCAATTAGACTTTTATAAAAAAGACCAAGATAATTCAAATTTCAGGCTCTTATAAAGTCAACAGGGCAGGAGGGAGTATGACATTGCTACTCGAATTACTTCAATTGTTTCTTCCACGCTGGCCACTTAGTATGCTTCACCAACCACAAAGTAACAGTATGATAACAATTTTACTAAGCAAAAGTCTGTTCTTACATAAAGTCCGCATGTGCCAAAGCCCCTGGGACTGACTGTGTTGCCTCACCTTCGAGGAAGTCATCACATGATGGATCATGTGCTGGGGTGTATTTCCTATGGAGAAGGGCGAGGTGTGTGTGATTAGAAAATGGGTTAATGTGAAAAAAAAAAGGTTAATACCATCTTAAGTTTTCGAACTTCGATTTCATTTTAATTTTGATTTTTAAAATTTAAAATAAGTATTTTAATTCCTGAAATTTGATTTCATTTTGGTCTGCTTAAAGATTATTTGTTCTTAAAACAATGTTTTTATTTGTAAAATTAAACAAAGTTCCAAGGAGATTGAAACTACTAGTTTCAAATTTCAGTGACCAAAAACTAAAATAAGATCAAATTTTATAGATTAAAAATTGTATTAATTTTTATAAAGGCATCTCTTCCATGTTTTTACGTTATATTTGGGAATGAGAATAAAGAAATCTGCTACTTGTAATTTCCTTAAACATCACTTGACATGAACTCTTTAACATGAATGCTTTGTTTCAGCAATCTCAAATGTTTGAGCTTGTGTTTCTGTATCAGCTCCACTGAAGAATGCAATTGACTGGGCATCAAGACCACCAAATGTGTGGGCAGGCAAAGCCGCGGCCATCGTAAGCACAGGAGGAAGTAGTGGAGGAGCAAAAGCGCAGTATCATCTTCGCCAAGTGGGAGTGTTCATTGATCTTCATTTCATAAACAAGCCTGAGTTCTTCCTCAGTGCTTTCCAGCCTCCTGCAAAGTTCAATGCTGATGGCGATCTGATTGATGAAGAAGCCAAAATTAAGCTCAAGAAGCTTCTTCTTTCTCTGCAGGAATTTACTCTAAGACTTCAAGGCAAAGCCTGATCAGCTTGAACCCTCGCAAATACTGAAGATTATAGAATCATAAGGTGTGGATTTCAGATTCTCCATCACATTATTGTTTGTATTTTTGGAATTTTTCCCTTATATTGCTTTGTAATTTTTGTCCGAGGTTTATTATTTGACATGATGAGTGAAATGATTCTGTTGCTAAAATTAAAAATAAAAAAGTTTCTGTTGAATAATACTGATCGATTAACATAGAGAAGGCTGATCATAGTAGTCTAATTCATGTGCTTGGCAGCGTGTGTTTAGCTCTTTTGAAATTACATCTAAAGATTTAAATATTTAACAAAATGTTAATACAATTTTTAATTAGTTCCTCAAGTTTGTACTCATTTTTATTTTTGTTCATAAAATTTTAAATCACAGATTTTGGTTCATTGAAAGACAAAATAATATAGATTTTTGTTAAATTATAGGACTAATATTTCAGACAAAAAGAAATTAGAGAGATGAAAATCTATAGTTCCTGCGAGAGATTTAAATATGGTTTTCTTTGCGACTGATTTCGTTTAATTTTATACGGACTTAAATAACTTTAAATTGGTCTTATGATCTGATTAAGTTACCATTTTCTTAGACAACAATTAAAACTAACATTGGAAAGGAGTTTGCTGATCGCTGGTTGCCAACACCGTGACAATTTTCATCTGCTTTGTCCCAGCAGCGGAATATTCTTCTCTCTTCAGTACTCATCATAATAAATCATCTCCAAAATTTAATTTAGATGGTTTAGGTTTAAAATTTTTAATTTTTTTAATGATAACTTTATTCTTTCAAAAATTATTAATTATGGAATTCTTTTTATTTTAATTTATGTATCTATTAAAATTAAAATTATTTAAAATATAAAAAATATTTAAATTGAAATGCTCATCAAGATAACATGCATGGAATGTGCTCCACGTATTTGATTTGAAAAGTCCAAGTACATATGCGACAAAAGCGATTCTTTTTCCCTAATTTAAATATTTTCTATTGCATTATTATAAGAAAAATAGCAACAACAAAAAACTGAAAATATTGCAATTACAAATCAGGGCCTATTGCAACCCTTATCTACATTTTGACAATAGTTGAATAGCAAATAGAAACAAATTTTTGACAAAATACTTGATTTTCAATTTCTTAATTTTTACTGTCTTTTTTTTACGATTTTTTCTTATTATAATCATTTTCCGGGAAATTTCTTAATTTTAGTGAATTTAGTAGGCAATAGTTTCCATATTTAAATCGAATCAATTCATCATATTCAGTTTTAAAAACATGCCCGAACATTTATTTAGGGTTAATTAATCTGCAAGTCCTTATAGTTTTAACGAATTTTGAATCAGGTCCCTATAGTTTTTTTTACTTTTTATCAGGTCCTTATACTTTTACCTTTTTTTAATTAGGTCCTTGTATTTATTTTTCTTTTAATTAAGTCCTTATAATTTCACTAAATTTTTAATCAGGTCCATGTAGTTTTAATTTTTATTTATTAATTAAATATAAGCTTAATTAAATAGATTAATAATGAAATATAAAATATTAATAATTAAATTAAATTAATAATTATGTAATAAAAAAGTAATAGAATTAATTAATCCAGGAAAATTTTTTAGAGCAATTAATTTTTTCTGAATAAATTAAAATCATTATAATAATTCAATATCTTTAGAATATTATTGTTTATAAATTAATATTAAATAATATATACTATTTTATGTTTATATAATAGTACTATTAGAATTTATAAAATAAAGAATAAAAAATTCAGGGACTTAATTAAAAATAAGGTGAACTTATAAGGACTTGATAAAAAGAAAAATAAATACAAAGACCTAATTAAAAATAGGTGAAAGTATAAGGACCTGATAAAAAGAAAAAAAACTATAAGGACCTAATTCAAAATTAGTTGAAACTATAAGGAGCTGTGGATTAATTATCCCCTTTATTTATGACAAAGTTACACGTAAGTTTCTTAAACTTTAAAGTTTGTATTAAAAAATTCTTTTTTTAATTATTTCAAAAATGAAGGAAAGATAAATTAAAAAGGGACATAAAAATTGTTTTCAGATATTCATCTAATTTTAATAAGTTACCAAAATTTATTGTCATGCTCTGTTAACCGTGGCTAAAGATTATATTAGTAGGATTATTTGTACAAATTAAAAAGTTTAAGATACCCATCGATAAAAAAAGGATATACATATTTTTATCCAAAAAGCAAAAAAAAAAAAATGTCATGATCAAGTTTAAAATTTTTAAAATTATTTTGGCCCAATATACTATCAACTATCATCAATCATCAATCATCAACTATCAATGTCAACTATATTCTTAAAAACTTATAATATCCTATTTATTTCAAAATTGGTCAGCTATGATATTATGATATCCAAATATATTCAATTAATTAGATTTGAATAATATTTTGATTGGGATTTGGGTATGTTGAATTAATGATGAGCATCATTATTAAATGAGATTTCAATTAGAAGTTCAAATGAAGAAATTAATAATTAATTTTCAATTTGAATAATTTCTTAATTGGAATTTGAAAATATTGAATTAAATGGGAAGTATCATTATCAAATAGTATGTCAATTAAGGGTTTAAATAGAGAAATAAATAAATAATTTTGAATTTTCACATGTTTACCTTCAATCCCGCACCTCTAATTTAAATCCCATTTGAATGAATTGAAAAAAAATCATATTCTTATAAGAAATGATCTTGAGCAACCTTCAATAATGTAATTCATTAGAATTTAAAATTTAATCAAATATTCTAATTCACGCATCGCATGGGGACAAAATTTTTAGTTTGAAAGAAATTGCGGTTTGTGGTTGTAACAATCTCTTTGGAAAATATCTACAAAGTGCTCCGACTTGCAAGCCTCCATTGCCCATCTTAAACCTTTGGCTGGGTTTTGTGTTCACATTATTCCAATGATGTGGGGAAAAAAACAAAAAACAAAAAACAAATTTAAGAAATTTTTTTTGGTAACCTGCTAGTGTGGTGATAATCTTCGCAAAGCCTATTTGGTGAAAAAATAGGAGAATCCTTTGTCAAAGGAAAAAATCTCAACATTTTTTGGGGACTATTTCGAATGAACAAATTCCAATTTTCCTATTAATCAATTCTTGTTGAAGATATAAAAAAATATGCAGTAAATGTAATGTAATTTACATAGTTAATTGGAGAAAACTTGTGTAGTTAAGCATATACATTTACCAAAAAAACTTAGATTAAATTCTTTATATCCATTATATCAAGTTTTCTAATCATATATAATCATGTGTCTTTTTCATTATTTTATGTGAATTTATAATTAAATACTAATATTTTAAAAATAAAACACATGGTCATATATGATTAGAGAACTTTGATATAAGTATAGTCCTATACTTAATATTATTTCTTTTAATTAAATCAGAACAAATGGATTTTAAATCTAAAATGATTCAAAACATTTATTTTATTAGGAAATAAATTAAAAACATTTATAATGAAAGTTAATTAGAAGGTAAATTAGTGGAAAAAAAATGAACGTATTCTAGTTTGATTAGAAAAGTTCTCCTATATCTGTATTAAAAAAAAAATGTTACCTCATACACGTAAGTCTAAAGTGCGTACCTAAAATTTTCCTTGACTGCAAAGAGGTCAACTTCAGTGTTTTTCTTTTGAAATTTGGACTATCAAAAAATCTTTTGGCCAAGGAAATAACAGTCTAAAAACTTTTAAACCCCCCGGGGGGGGGGGGGGGAGAACTTGAGCCGGAAGTTATTTTCGTTGGAAAAAACAGAAAAATTAAAATGCATTTGAGAATTATTATACGCTAGCTGGGTGTTAGATGAGGAGTTTGTTTTTATTCTTAATATAAGTTTTTAATTTACTTTATCCTTAAAATTTATAATTCTATTGATAGCACATGTAAAGGAAATTTCTATTCTAGTAATAAGATAATTTTCAATATAAATAACCAGAGGGTGTTTTTTTTTTTTTTAAGCAAAATCAGAGGGTGTATTTTAAAAAGATTAACACGTACTCTGTCGTTCAAGATATAAGCATCAAATTTTTGGGGGGTTGGGTTTTTTCATAACATATAATTTAGGTTTATCTAATCACTTAGTGCATTTTTTTTTCATTTTTACCCCTAATTAATTATATGTCCTTCTCATTTCTTTTTTCAACTTGTTCTCTCTTATCTCTTTTTCTATTCATTCTCCCAGCCCCTTACCTTCTCCATAAATAAAAATGTTTTATGAAAATAAGTTATATCTCTGGTTCTAAATATAAAATCCATTTTATATGTAAATTACATTATAAAATAGATCTTATATTTAGAATCGTAGAAATATATCTTTTACACATCTATTGTTTAACCATTTTTAACCAGCATTTTGAGTTGTGTGATTTAGTTTTTTTTATGATTATTTTTTCAATAAAAGGAGTATTTTTTATATATAATTAATTTAAATAATTTTTTAATATTTATAAATTATTTATTTGGTTCCCATAGTTTTAAATGGGAGAGACTATTTTATTATTTTCACGGAGTATTGGTCTTTTGATGCTCTAGTCTCTTTTCTTACAAGGGTATTTTTATCAAAATGCTATAAACAGTAACACAAATTTCAGTGCACAAAATTTCTTAAAATAATTTGATAAATAAGAAGTAAATTTTTTTTACATCATGTGTGACACAAGAAGCACTTAATTCTCAATATATAAATAACTTTTATTTTTATTTATAAAAAGCTATTTCATAAAATTTATGAAGAGGTTAAGTTTTTTTTCCTCATAATACCCTTGATTTGAATATTGTTGAGTAATTATTCAGCTAAAAAAAAAAAGAATATTGTTGAGTAATGATGATAAAGATAGAAATTGATAAATATGTATTTTATAATTAAATAGGTGGAGATTTTGGATATATTATATGTAACTTATAAATATTTTATATTTATATTTTTTTTTCTGAATTTAGGTACAGAATAAAAAGTAATTTTTTATACATAATCTATTCATGTCTTTTTTGTCTAGATGGAGAAATAGTGGGGCAGTGGGTTGAAATTTTTTCCAAAATTCACAAGGATTGGAAAGAATTGCCAGAATGGGTCATTGGCTGAAATTTTTGCCGAAAATAAAAAAGTGGGATATTAAACTCATTCTTAGGGTGAACGAGTTTCACTTTTTTATCTTAAAAATATAA